GGGGGCTCCCAGGAGGGGGCGGCGTCACCTCCACCGCGCGGGCTCCCCGAGGCGGCGCTCCGGCCATGATCGACTCGGGGAAGGTGCGCCGCGGCGGCGCGGCCGACTTCTTCTCGCACTACGAGTACCTGTGCGCCATGCAGGACTCGGTGCCGCTGCCCGCCGTGCGCGCCTGCCTGCGGGAGGGCGTGCTGGACTTCAACGCCGACCGCCTGCGCGCGGCCGACTGGACTCCGCTCCTCAGCACCCTCAAGATCAATAAAGACCTGCCCCTGATCTCTATCAAGAGCTTCTTCCAGCCGTGGCTGGGCGAAACAGGTTTGTAGTTCCCGCTTCTCGTGGCCCGAGTGGCGGTGCGGCGAAGCGGGATTTTAAACGGTGCAAGGTGGAGCCTGGGCGCGGGACCCGCGTTTCGGCGCCGGGGTACGTGTGCGGGGCGGGGGCGCGCGGCCTGGGCGTCCTCCCGGCTCCGAGACCCGGGGCGAGCCTCTAGGCCTCTAGGTGTATTTTCTTACCTGTAACTCGGGCTTAACCGGACCCCCCCTGTGTGGTAATGGCTAGGATTCGCCGCGGTTACGCTTGTAGAGCACTTAGCGCAGTTTGGGACGTCGTTAAGCATTCGGCACGTTACCTAGCTTATTGAATGGCTTTGCCTAGCGCAGAACAAAGGGATTGGGAAATTGATACATCCCAGCCTTTTGACTCATTTCGTTTTAAGACAGGGCTCTTTGTTGGGGGAGGGGGGTACGTTGTATTAAAAGTAGCGCAATGCAGTGGAAAGAGCATCGGTGTGAATGCAGCCTAGGGTTTGAATTCCAGGGTTTACACTCTGTGTGACCTGGGCAGGTTACTTCTGAACTACGGGGCAATTGTCAAATGACATTAAAAACCACTGTTTCCGTGGGTTCTTAGAATTAGCAGGTTGTGTGCGTAAAGGATCCTGGCCCTTGGATGAGCTCAGTCAGCACCACGCACTTCTGGAGACAGGGCTCCTGCCATAGAGAATTTTTCTTTTTACTGGGGGAGGTTGCAAGTGAACACAAGCCCAGTCGTCGGTACTCAGGAAGAAGTGAGTTCTAGTGCTGCAGAGCTGTAGAAGCTACACAGATGGCAGGAAGGAGCGACTGTGGCAGAGTTTGAGAAATTGAAGAATGTATGACAAAACTAAGGTACAGGACTAGAACTTCCTTTTTGGGAAAGAAGTGGATTGAGACTAGAAACCTGGTGGGGGCCAAATAGGGAGGAGCCTTGTTTGTTCTGTGAAAAGGTTGGATGTTTATCCTGAAGGTGATGGGAAACACTCAAGGGTGATGACATGGACTTTTGATTTGGAAGCTCAGCTGACCTCCTGAAAGGAGACTGACCGCCTGGAAGGCAGTTGATTGGAAGGAGGATAATTGTAATCTAAGGGCCCAAATTAAGGTATGGAGAGGGGAAGACTGGATTACAGAGATCAGAGAGACAGATTGGGTGTGGCCTGGTGGCCAGTTAGAAGAGGGAGGGCAGCATGTCTGGGTGACAGCTTAAAGCAGCGCTTTTCTGTGAGAGGCAGAGCACCATAAGAAGGAATTGGGGGTGGGGAAAAGTCATCTTTGATGCTTTAAGAGGGGCCTTTGGGGCATCCAAACATGTTTGACAGATGTTTGAAGGCATGGGAGAGACTAACTCAGTCTGATCCCAAAAATCGTAGGCCTGAAAAATGCTTTTTAAATGAACACACTTGAATATATTTATAAACTGAGAGAGTAGCCAACACAAAGGGAGGGTGTGAAAATATAGAAGAAATGATTATTGATTTATATTTTTTTAAAACCTGAACACTTGTCTTGTGCCTGGCCATTCTCTAGGCCCTGGGGTTTACTCCATCTGTTACCTCTTCTGCAAAGACAGTTCATCTCATCCCCTGGTGAAGGGTAGTCAGGTTATTCTCCGCATCTTATTCGGGTGTAGGAACTGTTCTGTACCTCTGACAACTTAACCGAAGTAATACCTTAGAAATCAAAAGTAATTACAGTTGGAGGGGACCTTAGAGTCTAGGCCACTATATTTAATCCTGCCTAACATTTTACATTGAATGTAAGAGAAGTGTATTGCGGAAACCATTCTCTTCAGAGTTCCTTTACCGAGTGAACCTTCTTTAATCGGTTGCATCCAGTGGGTCTAGGCTGTACATTTTAACGTCCTAGATTTGTTTCTTCATCCTTACTTACATTTTGCCTGGACTATTGCAGAAGCTTCTAGCTGGTTTTGCTACCCCTGAGTTCAGTTTCTCTCAGTTCATCTGCCTACTCGTCTTGAGTGATCTTCTAAAATGAAAGGATATGCCTAAAATAATGCTTATAATGGCTTACACCCACTGGATTAGTGCATGTTGGTTGCACAGCTTGTGTTCTGCACAGAGGCTTGAAATCTGAGCTGTGCTCTGCTGAGCCTTATGGGGCTAGTTGGCCCTGAGGAGGGGGTGCTTTTTATTGCCTGAAGTGGGTGCCTTTTTCTTATCCTTTCCTTTATCTAATTGGTCCTTCAGCAGTGGGGTGCCTTTTTCTACCCTTCAGAGGCACCTGTTCTATTGGTAGCCCTGGTCGTCATCACCTGTGGGGTTAAAAACCATCCTGTCTCCCAGGCTTGCTTTGGCCAACCTCTCTATTTTAATTTCTATCTCTTCTCCCACTTGCACCCCTGGCCTTTAGCACTCCCTACCTGCAGTACTGTCAGTGCCTGGCAGATGTCTTTGCACATGTTCTCCCTCTGCAGTTAACCCACCTCCCACTAGACTCTGTAGTCATTCTCACCTTTCTAAACCAGTGATTTTCAACCTTTTTCTTCTCATGGCACACATAAACTAATTACTAAAATTCTGCAGCACAGCAAAAATATTTTTTGCCAATCTGACAAAAAAAGCTGTAATTTTGATTCATTTACATCAGATGGCTATTGTGTTGGCTGTTGGCTGTTTTTGTTTTTTTTGTTTTTTTTTTTTTTGACAATCTAAGGGAAAAGATTGTATTGTAGCATGCCACACAGACACATTCTTGTGTTTGTGGTTGATGAATTACGGCTGTAAATAACGCTATGGTTTAATGAGCCCACCATTCTAAGTTTATTAAACATTTTCCATTTTTGTGAAAGTCCCCCCAAAAATACAATCAGGTATTGCATGTTTTAAAAATTCTTGTGGCACACTGGTTAAAGTCACTGTTCTAGATGATTCAACCTCATAGTTATTTTGAAGCTATCACTTGGATATAACTTGTTGCTTCCATAGGAACTTTTTTACTCACATGGTTTGTTTCTATATCTTCTATGGTTGAAATTTTGAGTTTACATGAGCAGATGTTTTTTATTGTGTTTTTTTAATCCTCACCCAGGGATATGTTTTTTTTATTGATTTTTAGAGAGAGAGGGAGAGAGAGAGAGAAAGAAAAAAACATCCATCAGTTGCCTCCTGTATGCGCCCCAGTAGGGGATCGAATCCACAGCCTTTTGGTGTGCAGGATGATGCTCTAATCCAGCACCCAGCCAGGGTAGCAGATGCTTTTTAATGATGATAAAATGTATGTTTGAAATCGCTAACTTTACAATACTTTTGCTTTAGGTTCTGACAGAAGTAAAGTTTGCAGAAGTCGAGTTCCTGCAATAAGAAGCAGAGATGTGACCTTCCAGCTATGTAAAGCTCTTAAATGCTGTTTAAGTGCATCAAATGCTCTAAAGAACCTGGAGCTAAATGGACTAGTTCTGAGAGAGAGAGATTTAACTATTTTAACAAAGGTAAGCCTTCTCCATTATGTCCTGAGTACATTTAATAGTTGCTTTTGGGGGAAACTAAACCAATAAATTTTTTAACCTTTTCTCCCCATTAAAGGGATTGAATAAATCATCTACTTTGGTGCACCTGTCTCTTGCAAATTGTCCAATTGGAGATGGAGGTTTAGAAAGTGAGTTTCAATCTTATTTAAGTCTCTTTTCATCAGACGGGGCTCATGATTCCCTACACGCCATGTTAATTCCTATCTGGACTTTTCTTGGTGCTGCCTCTATCTGAATTGTCTTCTGTGCCTGCTCAAACGTTGTTCCAGTCTCACTTGTACCGTGAAAATTCGTCATGCTCTATACTTTCTGAATTAATTTTACTTACGGTTGTATTAAGCCACAAGCTACACAAATATATAATATTTTGTATTTTCTGTTTTTTGTGTTTGTTCATCTCTATGAAATATTATGTGAAGGGAAAGAGCAAGATAGAAAGAGGGAAAAAATGAGCATTATCTTTAAATAGTTAAAACACCTATATGCAATCATAATTATAACGCACTGTGGTATGTACTAAAATAGGAAATATATGCAAAGTACTATGAGAGTATATAAAAGACCAACAGACTCTAGGTTGGTGGGGCATATCATGTAAGTAAACACAGAAGGGGACTGTTGGTTGGGGTCCTGAAGAATTAGTATATGATCTCTGTGTCTTAGTAGTCTGGGGAGTAAGGAAGCCTGCATTTCAATTTGAGTGAACAGAGTTTGAGGCCCTCTGTCTTATATCATTCTAGTATATTGTATAGCACCTAATAAAAGTCTGGGTTTATAGTTGACATATAAATTGTTGATTGATAATCGAGATGAGGTTATAGGAAACAAAAATGGGAAGAATTAGGCTTTTCGGTTTTTCCTGTCTCAAAAGGTAGCTGGTACTTTAGTGAGGGGCTGGGAATTAGGTTCGAGATATTCAGAGTTGAGCTTTAGCATCTGAATAGAATTAAATTGTTGCTATAAACTGGAGTAATGCTTTGTTACCGCCATGTTTGAGAATGCACCAATCCATATCCATTCTCTGCAAAGATCATAGATAATGAGTTTTACAGTACAGCTATAAACCTCCAGTAGACTTAAGAAAAGCGAGTAAATCAAGATTGACCAGACTGTGTAGGCTTTTCAACTTATTGTGTGTATGGTTTGTTTTTTTTCCTTTTAGTTGTTTGTCAAGGTATAAAGAACTCTATCACTCTTAAGACAGTAAACTTCACGGGGTGTAATCTGACATGGCAGGGAGCAGATCACATGGCCAAGATCTTAAAGGTGATTTTGTTTAAACTTTCATGAAAACATATTATGTGATTGAAGGCACATTACTATTTTGATACAAGGTGGCAGTTACTTTTGTCTTTTGATACATGTGGTAATTGCAGTTTTAGTTTTGTTGAAAGAATATGACCAATTTTTAGGTTGGGGTTCTACCATTTAGTAAAAATGGTCCACTTAATCTTAGAAATCAGAGATTGACTCTAAAAAATAAACAATGCTTTCATGTATTTTTAGTTATTGAAAACATGTATTGTGGTACTGTGAAGAAAGTGTATGCTATTAGAACCTTCAAATGACTTAAATGAATCAAATATTTATTGTTAACTGCTGTAATTTATAAACTGATAAAAATAACTATCTTAGCATTTTGTAAATATAGTTTTTAAAATAATACTTTAACAACTTTATAATGGTTATAACTACTATATTTAGGCCTAATATTACTTATTAATAATTTAACATAAAGCTTTTTTTAATAGTTTGATGGTACAGGACAGGGATAGGTAGACTATGGCTGGTGAGCCAAATTCAGCCTATCACCTGTTTTCGTAAATAAAGGTTTTTTGGGAACAGTCACACCCATTTGTTAATATAGTAACTATGGCTACTTTCACCCTATACCAGTCAAGTTGAGTAGTTGCAACAGAAATTGTATGGCCCACAAAGCTGAAAAATTTACTTTTGGGACTATCGAGCAAGTCTATTGACTCCTAGTATAGAAAATAGTCAAGAACAAGGATTCTAAAAGCCAATGGCCTAGGTTCAAATTCCAGCTCTTCCATTTTATAGCTCTTGACCATGGACAAATTACTTAACTTCTGTGCTTTATTATGTGGATTAAATTATCTAATTTTGTATAAAATAGTGCCTGGGACATAGTAAGCACTAGGTACATGCTTGCTGTTATTTCCATTGTTGCTTTAATAAGTTATTGTTAATAGAAAAATGACACTAGTGGTTTTCCTTTTATAGCATCATAGGAACTTTCTTGTTGTTCAAGAATGTAATAAGATTTTTTTCTTTTAAAGTCAGTTTTCCCTGTTGCCAAAATTTATTTTATGAATATGCCTTTCAGACAATACCTGTGGTTAAAAATCAAACCATCAATTTTGTAAGGCATGTCAAATTGGCTTTGCTTATTTCAGGCCTCTACAGTTGGTGTGCATACCTTAAGTAGTACGTCAGATCCATTGGGTTAGGGGAAGAAAATATTGGAACCTCTATATTTATTTTTGTATCATTTAAAAAAACATGTGTGGTATATAATGTACATAAAGTATATGCGTAGAATTTCATATATATAATTTATTAATAAATAAGATACATGTTTTAAAAATGTGGGATGCCCAGTCAAGCATTTGGAAACCACTGAAACAGAATGATATAACTTAGGGCCTCAGCAATGCTAGAATTTAGAATCAGTTCCCTGACCTGGCAGATAAAGACAATAAATTTTATAGAATGTACTTCAGTTGTTAAAATATAACTAATCAGCAACAGGTCATCCAGTGGCTGAAGTCTCATTACTGGCAGACTAGAATCTGGGTCACTGAACTCTTAAACCACAAACAGTTGATCTCTTCAGTTGATTCTCCTGGCATATATACTTGGCATATGTGTGTAAATCTCAAACATGATAAGCCATACTCAGTGTGCATATACTGTTCCTTTATTTAAGTAACTTAATTTCATCTTATTAAACTTTTGAAGTATCAGACCATGAGAAGACATGAAGAAACCTGGGCCGAGAGTCTTCGTTATAGGAGACCTGATCTTGACTGTATGGCTGGCTTGAGGCGCATCACTTTGAATTGCAACACGCTCATTGGTGACTTCGGCGCAAGCGCTTTTGCAGAATCTCTTACTGAGGATTTATGGCTTAGAGGTAAGTTCTAAAATTAAAAATATTGAATTTTTTTAATGTAAAAATGCTTAACTTTTGGCACAATATCATTGTCATATTTTTTAAAGCCTTATTTTTTCCTAAAGCTTTTATTGTGCTTTTAAACTTTTAAGAGTTGCATATATTCTTTATAGAAAATATCGAGTAACAATAAGAATTACCCATCATCTTAATAATACCCAGACATAATCACTGTTCATTTTGGTTTATGTACTTTCAGTCTGTTTTTTATAAATATATTTGTATACTTAGAGATTATGAAAATGGAATCGTATTGCACTTACTATTCATATCCCTGCTTTTTGACCTATAATGTAGTACTCCATTATAGTGATGTGCAATAGTTTAATCAATTCTTTGCAATTAGGTTTAGACAGTATGGTTTTTCCTGTCAGAAAGAGTGTGTAGTTGAGCACTTTGTATATATGTCTCTGTGTCTATCAGGATTACTTCTATAAAATACGTTACTAAAAGAGGAATGACTGAGTGTGACATATTTTCAAGACTTTTGATATATGTTGCCAAATTGCCAGCCAAAAATGTTGTCCAGTGTGAGGCCTGCACGCTTAGGAACACTGGCTTCTGTAACTTTTAAAAACTGTAAAACTATAAAAATGAGTATCAGCATCCTTTTTTAAAAAAAATGCAAGTGGGATTACTTCAAATTGTATAATTTTTTCATTTAGTGTAGTATGAACATCTTAACAAGTCAGCAAATTTACATCTACCACATAATTTTTTGTGACTGTTCAGAGTTCCACTGTATGAATATGCCATAGTCCACTTAGCTTCCTCATTCTTGTTAGATATAGAAGTTGTTTCCAGTTTTTCACTGTTATAAACAGTACCTTGATATACATCCTTGCCTACATCTTTGATTATTGTTTATGGTTAAATTCTCAGAAAAAGAATTTTTCTGGATCAAAAGAATATGCACAGTTTAAAGGCTTTTGCTGTATGGTTGAGCGTCCTCGTTGGCTGGGAATCAAACCGGCAACCTTTCAGTGCATGGGAGGACGCTCAACCAGCTGAGCCACACCAGCCAGGGCTATCTAACTTCTTATTTCTCTGTGTCATGAGGTTTTGAAAGATTCCAGTTATTTTCATGTAATGGTATACATGACACTTTTTCTTAAAAAAAGCTCATATGATAGTTTCCTCTTAGGTATATTTTTTATACCAGTGGTTTTGTGATGATCCCTTTGATTTAAATGAGTAGGTTGTGCAACCTCAGAACTACTAGTATTCATGATCATTTATTCTGTTCTTTGTCTTACCTTTTACCAAGAGAGAGTTCTTGACTATCACTCTTTCATGATAGGCTTTTAGCATATTTAACATATTTTATTATATATTCACACATTCTTTGGATTTGTCATTGTTTGCATCTTCTTAGACTTCTTTTCTATGTCTTTTTTGTTCTAAATCTGTTTTTTCTATTCTATTTTCCCCTTTTAACTAGTTTCAGGAGTAAATTGGAGCTCAAGATCATGATCAAAAGAATGCAGTGCAATTGCTGAACCCACTCAGTTTTTGCCTGTAAGATTTACACTGCCATTAGCATCTTTGCTATTTATGAACTGAGATTCTTTTGTGTTATTTTCACTCATAGATTATATATAGTTATTCTTCAACTCTAATTGTAGAATATGGTGGGTGATTTATTGGTACTAAAGGAATGGTAATTATGGCATATCCAAGAAGAGTTTTTTATTGGATTTTGCATTATGTGTGCATATGCTTTTTTAAAAAAATTTTCAGTACCTAATATTAAAAACCTGCCATGACTAGTCTTGTGCAGGAATTTTTCACACATGAATAAGGAGAGTTGTCTTAAATCTGTACAGAACTGGCAAGTGACTTTTTGTTTTTCACCAATAGCACTTGACCTGCAACAGTGTGGCCTCACCAATGAAGGCGCAAACACTTTACTAAAGGCCCTTGAAAACAATAGAACTCTCGTCATTCTGGATATAAGAAAAAATCCACTTGTTGGTATGTCTCCGCATTTTTTTTTATTGGTTAACAGATAACAAAACAAAAAGAATTTATTCATGTATTGACAATTTTTAAAACCTAATGTATTTAAATCCTAATCTTATACTTTTCTAGTATAAAGTTTTACCCTCACAGAACTTATATTCTAGTGGAGAGTTCAGATAGAAAAGAGTAAACAGGTAAGTTAGTATAGTTTTTTATAGTAAGAAGTGCAAAATTACCTTAAGGTGAGGAGACTGAGCTGGGCACATAGGACTACATTAGATAGGTTTGTCAGGAAACAGCTCTACTAAAGAAATGACATTTGAAAAGTGGAGGAGACCTGAGTGAAGAGAGGGGCAAGCCATGGAAGATATGGCACAGGAAGATTCCAGGACAGGAGAGTGATGAGTACACAGGCTCATAGATGGAAGGGTGGATGGAGTATTTAAGGAAAAACACATAGGCCAACATGGCCAGAGCACTGAGTGAGGGAGAACTTGGTGTGCTCTGAGGTTGGGGAGCTAGCTGGGGACCTGATCTTACAAGGTCTTGAAGGCCAGAGCAAGGACATGGATTGTTCTAAATGAGCAAAGGGTTTTGAGCTGGAAAAAGGCACCATCTGGAAAGTGTTTCAGTAAGATCACCCTGGTGTGGAGACTAGACTTGGGGGATAAAAAGCAAATAGGGAGACCAGTTGGAAGACTAATCACAGTGATCCAAATAAGAGATGGTTATGCTTACCTTAGGGTGGAAAGTTGGAGCTGGTGAAAGGTGGTTAAATTCAGGTTGTGTTTCAAGGGTGTAGCTAACAAGACTTGCAGATAGATTAGGTATAGGGTATGAAGGAAATAGTAATATAGAAACAAATCCTAGGTGATTTTGTACAACTGGGTGATACCACCTACTGAGAAGAAGGGGCTGAGGGAATATCAGGAACTTGGTTTGATGTTTACCTGCCTTTAGTGTCTGGCCAGTATCCAGACTCTGCTTCCTATCCAGAGGTGTCCAAAGTATTTAGATTTGATCTTTGCTGCTGCCAAAATAGAAACCGTCGGGTCTGGGGGTAGGGGAGGGGGGCAATTTGTGAGGTGGCACACTTTCATCTTAGGTTTTTTGCTTTTTTAAAAATATATTTTTATTGATTTCAGAGAGAGGACGGGAGAGGAAGAGAGAGATAGAAACTTCAATGATAAGAGAGTTACTGATCAGCTGCCTCCTGCATGCCCCCTACTGGGGATTGAGCCCACAACCCGGGCATGAGCCCTGACGGGGAATCGTACTGCGATCTCCAGGATCATAGGTTGATGCTCAACCGCTGAGCTACACGGGCGATCTTGGAGGAAGAAATTAGAATACACAAAGACAGGAATAGGTATACAATTACATTACGAGGATTTTGCATTTACTTCTATGGGAAAAGCAATAATTGGTTGGCTTTTGTTTTAAAATGGAAATAGTCACTCATTGGGAAATTATTACTATAATTTCAATTTATTTTACTATAGATCATTCTGTGATGAAAGCAGTTATCCAAAAAGTTCTCCAGAATGGAAGGAGTGCCAAGTCAGAGGTATAATATGTATTTACTTTTTCATTCTTTCAATGAAGACTTTCTCTTTCATTGATCGTTGTTCTTCATTTTCTAATAAAATTATTAAGGTGGTTTCTGCCGCCTTAAATTAAGTTTTTAGTCAAATAAAATGGCTTTTCTGTTTTTGAAAATATTGTGTGAATCTTTAATTTGGGGTCCCAGAATACAGATTACAAACCCTTTATTAACTTTAAAAAACTTAGTAATTTCCTATTAATATCAAACCCTCATAAATAACCTTTATCTGAAATGGAGTATTTATTATTCGTCTTCCAGTATCAGTGGATAACTTCTCCATCATTGAAGGAGCCATTCAAAACTACTAAACAGAAAAAGAGAACTATAATTCTGGGAAGTGGTCGAAAAGGAAAAGCTACTATTAGAATTGGTAACCCTTTGTATCTTGCCTTCTTAATGATACCAGGACTTACACCCTTTATGTATTCCTGTGTGCTCAAATTGAAGTCTCTTCTCATTGTATGATATTTATGCTAACAAATAGTAACTGCATGCATATTAGGATGACTGATTGTTCTGATACAGATTATGAGAATTTGTGGAATGTAGAAATAAATAATTTAAGAAGGAGATGCTAATATTTTCCTTTTTTAAATTAATTTTCTTGTTTGTGCTTCATAAAAAGTTTATTATTTTGACTGTATTTTCTGGTTGATGATTATTTCTGATACGTTGCAGTTGAAATTTGGGGTGTACTTTGACAATTTTAGCATTGGTGTTTTTGAGTGGTGCTTTTTTATTTTATTTTATTTTTTAAAAATATATCATTATTGATTTGAGAGAGAGGAAGGGAGAGGGAGAGAGAGAGAAACATCAAGGATGAAAGAGATTCATTGATTGGCTGCCTCTTGCACACCCCCTACTGGGGATTGAGCCTGCAAGCCAGGTGTGTGCCCTGACCAGGAATTGAACCAAAATCTTCTGGATCCTTCGTCAGTGCTCAGCTGCTAAGCCATGGCAGCCGGGCTGAGTGGTGATATTTTAAAATAAAAAATTATCCTTTTGTGCTATAAGAAACAAATTTTTTTCAAGTTCCATTTTTACCTCTTATTCCCTTCTTCCTTAGAAATTCCCACCAAAAGTTGTTGAGTGAGGTAACACTTTGTCTCCTTCAATGATTTAAAAAACAAAAACAAAAAAACTTAGAATATATAATCCTTATAAAAGAATGCTGCAAACCATTTTACTGACCCTAGATGGGACATTGTAGAAAAGCATTTAAAAAATTTTTGCTATAATGTATTTTAATTTTCCAAACAATACTGAACCCTGAATTTTAAAAGTAAGCCTATAATTTTGTTGTCAGGCATCATTTTTATAATCTTCTTTATAAAACTCTTTAACAGTGGCATAAGTTTCATATTCTCCTGAACATATAAATTTGATATAATCCAGTTCTGATATTTTTGTATTGTTTTTAAAGAGACCTTAACTTTTATTTCTAGAACAAGTGTCCTTAGTTACAAATAGCTCTGTGTGTGTGTGTGTGTGTGTGTGTGTGAGAAAGAGAGAGAAATAAAAATGAATGGCAGGGTCGAATTAGTTAAACCAAGTCTAATATGAACCTAACCCTTTCTTGAGAGTAAATTGACATTTTGAAACAGTAAAACCATAAGATCTAATTCGAAGAAATTAAAATAAAATTTTTATGTTTATAATCTGCCAGTTTCTTACAAAAAGGTTTGTGGTGACTTTAGTTATATGTCAGGTACATGAAGATCACCAAACAATTACCAGCAAATAATCTTTTATTTGGATGCTACCTGAGACTTTTTTTAGAGTGAAATGTTTATTGATTTTTTGGTTATATTATATACACCTCCTCTACTTTGAGAAGGTGAGTGAAATAGTGATTAGGTCTGGACAATGGTAGGTTTTGTTTTGTTGTGACTCAGCAGAGTTAAAAGACAGTTTTGGTTGACATGTCTACTGGTTTACTTATTTATCTATTTATTTTAATTAAAATTTTTTTTTTCTATTACAGTTTACATTCAATATTATTTTGTATTAGTGTCAGGTTGTACAGCATAGTGGTTAGACAGTCATATACTTTATAAAGTATGTGATATTTCCAGTACCCGCCTGGCGCCATACAGAATTATTACATCATTGACCATGTTCCCTGTGCTGTGCTTTACGTCCCGTCCCCATCACTGTTTTGTAACTGCCAATCTGTACTCGTAGGTCTTTCGCCTTTTCACCCAGTGCCCGGCTCCCTCCCCTCTGGCAGCCCTGTCTGTCCTCTGTGTCAATGATATGAGTCTGTTTCTGTTTGTTCATTCATTCATATTGTTCTGTAGATTCCACATAAATGTGAAATCATGTGGTGTTTGTCTTTCTCTGACTATAGTACCTGGTGGTGTCATAGGGCATCATGGAATGAGAATAAAACAAAGTTTTTTTCTTACTTAAAGTGGAAGTATGACAGGTTTGTGAGTTCACTGAGCAGTTTTTAAGAGTAATTTTATTTCTTGGGCTTTTTTTGTATTTGCCTCAGTTATTTGGAAACATAGAGGTAAGCCAAATTAGTGTCTGGCTGTATAGTTAGATCTCAGTGAGGTTAAGGGTTAAATAATTATGTGAATTGTGTCACATTCATATTATAATGATGTGTGCAGAAAGAAAATAGGAACTTGTGTTAGAATTTTTTTAATCTAACAAGTGTAAATTCTTTTGTTTTTAATTACAAATATATTTGCATTCGCTTCTGAAATTAAAGGAAAAGGTATACAGATACAAACCACATACACACAAACATTCTTTGTTAGAGATTAAATAATAAAAACATAATAGCATAAGACAAACTGAGGTCCTATATGTTTTAAGAGATAATGTAAATTTATCCAGAGAAATCATATAGGATCATGCAGTTATCAACAAGCTACACTACATGAAATATTTGTCCTGTATTACCACATATACTTTATTTTACATCCTAATGTTGCTTAAGTAGATATTCTATAGTGATACAGGATAAATATAACTACTTTAACAAGCCTGTATTGTTTTTTGTAACATTAGTGAAAATATTTAAATGTGAATTTAATATATGGTTTGTTCTAAATAAAGTATTAACATGTAGGCTAGGTTTTGCTACCAAATTCTTCATACAAAGATACTTGACTCTTCAGTATTGAAATGTAGGATAAGTCTCCACATTTTGCTCTTTTATGCAATGGGTTTTATTTCTTTCGTGTTTTCTACATGAAATCAAATGAGCAGTGAAGGTCAGCAGACTTAGAGGAGAGTAATACTGGTTACCCACTACCCAGCAACTTTCAGTCTTGTAACTTTGATCATTTTTACATAGAAAAATTAATCTTAAGTTGAAATTTTGGCCTACTTTTAGAAAATTCTTTTTGGCAGGGGTCATGGATGTATCTGTCTCTGTCCTTGAGATTCAGTAATGCCAAAGATATTCTGAGATTTAATAAACTGAATGTTTCTGCATGGTACATAAAATGTATAATTCTTTATTCCTTGGGATGTTTTTATTTACTTTTGCATATTCTGCACATTTCATGCTTTTTAGTTAAAATATTAACTTGTTACCATAGAGAACTTATATTTTTAAACATTGCTGGCCTATGTAAAAACATTTTTATAAAATGTCTGTTTTTAGTGGCTTTGACGTCATTTTTAAGTGCCCATTTGTATTCTTTTAAAAGTGTGCATATGTACTGATTGCTCTGTAGACCCTGAGTGCATCTTGTCTTTCTTTTAATGCTTTCTCAAACATAGGATTGGCTACAAAGAAACCTGTAAATAATGGAAGAAAACACTGCCTTGGTAAAGACTGCTATGCTCCTGAACCTTTGCCGCCTGGCGTGTCTGGTTTCCTGCCGTGGCGTACTGCAGAACGTGCAAAAAGGAACAGGTAGAGTATTTTTATTTTCTACCTTTAGTCATTCAAAATTCTTTATTTTGGAGCGCATGTTATGTGAGAGGTCTCTGGCTGTTTCCATAGAGGATAAAGATAAGTCGCACAAGGGCATCTGCCTAGTGCATAATTTAAGGAAGAAAAACTAAAAGTAATTATAGTTGGGGGTTTAAAGTTATTTCTTAGCACCACAACAGATGTAACCTGGTGGGAGACAAGAGGAGACTAAAATTATCTCTAATTGTGCAAGTGAGAAAGGTTTCATTAAAGGCTGGTGTAGTTGAGCCAAGTCCTGCAGGGCTAAAGTAGGAATTTGGAAATGTAGGAATGGGGGGAGAAAGACATTTTAAGCATGGGGAATAGTTTGGTGCAGAGAATGGAACTTTGGATTAGATTTAATCTAACTCAGTCATGACATACGTTATTTTAGTGAATCACACTAGATTTAACTAGTTTTAGCTGATTGTTTATCCAGGGGATAGCTGTTTAAAGTAATTTTTGTCATAGACGCGTAAAAATCTTTTAAAATTGTTGAACTATAATTATAGGTTTGTCAGTGAATTAGACTGCTATAAATTATTTTCAAAGGACTTACTTGGTAGTATTCAAGAAATTGGGGATTGACAATTGCTTAAGACAGAATTGATTTTAAATAGGACTTGAAGTAGGTACTATGTAAAATAGTCATTAAATTGTTCTAACTAGGGGTTTCATATCTTCTTGAGATACTAATCTCAGGCCCATCCTGGTTGCATGAATGGTAAATTAGAGAACCATTCATGTCACCAGTTAAAGAAGTTAGACTGGAAATACCAACCATTCTGAACATAAGAACTAAAGGTGCCTCTCAGCAGTTCAGAGCTATTACAAAGCCAATCTGCTAAATTCTGCTCAATTGTCTCCATAGCAGAGCCCTCCAGGTCTTAATTTTTATACAAAATTCTATATGGATATTGTACATAACCCTGACAAGTTTTATTAACTGGGGTTAACTGATGATGTATTTACATTATAATTTAACTTGTTACTATCTCTTTAGGGGTTTTCCGTTGATCAAAACTCGTGATGCATATAATCAGTTACAGGTATGTAGCTTTCATATTTGTGATATATAGGGGGTTGAAGTGGGAAAGGTGTAAGGTCATTCTCTTTGCTTTTTAAACCAAACAGAGCCTTGCAAGAAGCATTTCCCTCCCTGAGATAAATTCATTTAAAACTTGCCAGGTCACTCTCCCAATGCCGCTTCGTAGTTGTGTGGATATGGCATACACTCGGGGCTTGCAGTTTCATCTGTAAGCAAGGAAGCCATTTCTCTAGTCCACAAATGAGCTCTTGCCCAGTGAAATAAATGTGACTGCCATTACTGACCCAGCATGTGGAGATGTCATATTCAAGAATTCCCTTATGTTTTTAAGAAATGTTGTCTGGAGGCTATATAAGTTCCTTATCCTAAAGCCAAAATAAAGCAACAAATTCCAAAGCCTCTGCTCTCTCAGAACACTTCTCCCTCTCACCAGGACCACGCACATTTCCTGTCATACTGCCTCATGGTCTTAGAGCAAACAAGTCCTCAGAGTATGAGGCTCTCCTTCCCAGCCGTCCTGGGACCGTGTACAGTTGCTCTGTGAAAGACAGCACTCTTGAGATTGAGACGAGCGCCCTGCGTGCCGATACTGCCCCCAGATGCCCAGCAGAGTGCCTGCCTTGTTCACCATTGGCACCTCCTGCACTGCAGGGTTCACGGCCTGTGGCTGAAATGGTATCTTGGTGACTTGTCCTCTGCAGTTACGTAATCCCAGCGCACTTCTTTTGATCTGTAGACTTTTTATGGGGTTGGACCAGGTCCATTTTTAAAACTTTGGAAATACCATATTGAACAACATTCCAGTGGCAGTGAAACTTGACAGGAGAGTTGTGTTAGTTTTACACATTTTTGGCTTATGGATGACGAGAAGGTGAGGTTTCTGATGGGTCACTTTTAGTTGTCTATGGGTGTGTCATTTGTTTTTTAAAATTCTAGTGTTTGGCATTCAAATTATTCTTCTCTATCATTCCCCTCCTGATGGATTTTCTTTCTGAAAATGACATTTTCTCCCAGACTCTCTGTGTCTAATGGTGGAAAGTATATTTCTCACCTGCAATATAAAGTTGATCTGAGAAAAAATGTTTACCCTGGCCTGTCTGTGACTTATATGAAAGATATTTAATAAAATAATATGGACAATTCCAAATATTATTCCTAACTGTACAGTAACAGCAAAAATAAGTTCCTGTCATTTTACTTTGTCATTGCTTGTTTTGCACTAAGGGGCAGTGAAAGACATTTATAAATAATAACTTGATAACTCAGATCACTTTTGTTAAATGTCCTTTAATATTTGGTAGCTGGTGTATCTTATCTTATATTTCTTGTCTTCTTTCTTTAAGCAATTAGATTTTCCTGTGACTGTGACAGTAGAGAGTCCTTCCTCCTCAGAAATTGAAGAGGTCGATGATTCTTCAGAAAGTGTTCAAGAAGAACCTGAGAAAACCAGTTTAAAACCAGAAGCGTTACAGGTACAAAGTTAACCACTTTCAAGATATAGAGGAGAGTAGGACAGCTTGCGTGAGGCTTCTGTTTTGCCCTCCTGTGTGTATCGTGTCCCCATGAGTGGTTCTTAGGTTAGACCAAGGTGAAAGGTGGACATTCGAACTCTAAGAAATAAAAATCAAAATATGCCGCAACTAATATATTTTCCTTTCCTTAGAACCATAGAATATATTAGATTTAAGGAGAACCTGAATGATCATAAGATAAACTCCAAGAACTTGAATTCTGAATGAATGTACTCAGCTGATTCAGTTCTCTTATTTTACAGGTCAGGAAATTGACCATTCTAGCTGAACTCAGTAAGAGGAAAATATGACTTAATTTCTGTAAAAAGTAAAGTTGAAAAAAAAGTTTTTATGTTGATATTCTCCTTTTCTAAAATAAAAAAAACTACATTAGGTTGCCTGATAAACCTGGCATCTAATGTCATTTCGTACTTCTGTTTGTATGGATAGAAAAGAAAAATTAACTTTTATAACAAATTTTTGCACCTCAAAAATACTGTATTTTATTTCAACTTTAATGCAGAGTTGATCATTTGTAGTAAATAAGGGAAACATCACTTGGGGGTTCTTTGTCTTTTTGTGCTACAGACTCCACATTTAATTTTAACAAATTATTTAATATGATTTTCTCTTAGTATAAAACTTGACAGATTTAGAACTAGTTTTCCCATTAGGACTATAGAAATTACTATTTCATTTTCAAAAAAGAAAGCTAGATTTTTATTGTTTAAGTTAAAACTAATGATAATAGAGAAAAATTTTAAGATAATTACTTAGAAAATTATGAAATGTTAGAGTAGGAGGAATCTGAGTTCATGTAAAATTGTCTCGTAAATGAGCACCTACAAATTGTAGCACTTAAATGGTTTATTCTAAGTTGCCAAGTAAAGACAAGAGCCTAGAGTGTCTAATCCCCATTCATCGTCATTTTGGATGTGTTGTATTCATTTCCTTCACCAGGTGACTAGAAGATTGTATTTAGAAAAGCTATTATAGACGTTAGGGAAGACCAGGAAGGTTAGAGACTGTAAGTAGGGAACAACTGAGTCAAGACCCATGAGGACCCTCCTGCTCCTGGATGTCCACTAAGAGTTAAAAACTAAGTAAATTATGTAATGTTCATACAGTGGGAAAACTACAAAGCAATAAAATTGAATGTACTAGAGCTACAGGCAACAGTGTGGATGAAAATTTTTTTAAACAGTTCTTTTTATTTTTAAATTTATTTATTGATTTTGGGGTGGGGGAGGAAAAAAGAGGGAGAGAGAAACATCAATTTGTTGTTCCGTCCATTCATGCATTCATTTGTTGATTCTTGTGAATACCCTGATGGGGATGGAACCTACAACCTTGCTGTATCTGGATGACGCCCTAACCAACTGAGCCACCCTGCCAGGGCCAGTGTGGATGAATTTTTAAAAACAATGTTGAATGAATTAAATAAAATACAAATACACTATGATTTTTTTTACATAAAGTTAGAAATTGGTAAAACTAAGCTATATTGTTAGGTATGTATGCATGTAAAGGAAATGATTGTCAGTATTTAAGAGGGGAAGAGGGGCTTGTGATGAGAGAATGTGGGAATTTTTGAGATGCGGACAAGTTTTACTTACAGACTTTAATGATAGTTAGAAAAGTATTCTTTTTATTTGCCACACTGACAATTTTACCCTGTGCACTTTTCAGTATTTGTATGTTTTACAATTAAAAACCTGACTAAAGAAATGGTTGCCTCTAGAGAGCTGGATGTGTAAGTGGATTAAGACTACAGTTGACCCTTGAACAACTTGGGAGTTAGTGGTACCTACCTCTTGCACAGTTGAATATTCAAGTATAACTTAAGTTAGCCCTCCACAGTGTTACACGGATTCCCAACCACCAGTTGACCCTTGAACAACTAGGATTTGAACTGTGGGTGTCAATTGAAAAAATTTGGGTTAGGTGGACCCACTCAGTTCAAACCTGAGTTGTTCAGGGGTTAACTGTATTTTAAGCCCTTTGCTACTGATTGCATTTACGTATTCATCATTAAGCATTAATTGATGTACCAAGCACTCTTCTCAGTTTCACATGTGTGTTAACTCACGTAATTGTCATAAGAACTCTTATGATGTGAGAACTTATCTCCATTTTATAGATATTAAATTGAGGCCTAGAGTTATTGAACTTGTCCAAAGTTATATAGCTGAGAATTAAGGCCAGGATTTTCCCCAGAGAATCTGAATTTTTAAAATATAATCTAAAAGAGAAATTTACTAATTATAAGCAAAGAAATACATATTTAAAGAAGACAGAAAGTTTTCACCTGTCCAGTTAGAGAAAAACACATTGTCGTTTACACACATAAACTTGTATTGGCAGGGCTTTTCCTTATTTAACATTTACTGATTGTCTGCTTTGTGGTAGGCGCAGGTTCTGGGGGTTAGTGCTTAAAACACACTCCCTTCTCTCAGATATCTTGCACTTTAAGTGGAGAAGTGAGCCAACATTTATAATAGAGGTTATATATCCAGTGATATATTGCCATTAGCAGTATAAAATCTTAGAAATCTTTTGGAAAGCAATTTGGAGATAGGTACCTCAGAGCCTTAAAAATGTTTACTTGCTTTGATCTCAAACTTGTTTTTATTGATTTATTTCATTAAAATTATGCTAAATATGAAAAAACCTTCATGCATAAAAATAATTATTTTGTCTTATAATATTGAAAAATTGTAAAGAACCTAAGTGTTTAACCATAAAAGAATGATTAACATGGACCGATAAACCCTCTCAATGGAATATTTTGTTTCCCAGTAAAAAAAAAATCAAGGTTATGGATACCCTCATTCTATGAGAAATAATTGATTCAATGTTAAGTGGAAAAAACTTGAACATGAAATTTGATATACAGTATGATAGGAGCTTTGTTCTAGAAAAATTTCAGCTAGCCAGTGAATAGCAGGGAGGAAGGAGAGCAGATACAGGAAGAAAAATACTCCAGAAACTTATCACTCATCTTACTTAAGTAATAGAATATCTAGCAAAGTACTTTCTGATATTTTAGTTCCATATTTTCTTTTAAAGAACATGAATAACTTCGTAGGAGGAGGGTACACTTTTTCATAAAAATTTAACATTATATTCTAATTCCCTCCACTAGAGGGAGAAACTGTTTCATGTAATTGAACTTTGATGTGTTGTTTAGAACTGGTTAATACTGGAATATTTTAGTCAACTGCCTCTGATTGTGGTGGGCTTTGTTTGTTTGGATGTTTTTATAAAAAAATTTTATTGAGGTATAACATACATACAGCAAAGTGCTTAAATCATAATTCTAAGCTCTGAATTTTTACAAATGTATACACTCATATCACTCCCATCCAGAAAAAATTATTTACAGCTTTTCAAAAGGCTTCCTTGCTCAACTTCTCTAGTAAGTATATTCTCCTTCCCCAAAGGTAGCCACCATTCCCACTTCCATTATGTGATGAGGCTTTTTTGTTTGCTTTTTTTTAGAATCTGTATGAAATCAGTTTTAAATATTAAAAACATTGTGTAAATAATGAAGGAATTTTGCAATTTTTTTTTCTCATTAGAAACTTGACAAGCTTTTACTGGTAATGAAACATTTAAAAACCGGAAGTTATTAGACTGTTTATTTTTAAAACATATGTTCTTTGTATAAAAATAGATGTTTATTGAGCAAATTTTTGAAAACAATGAAAGCTTTTTGAAGGAAATAAAAGCCACCTCTGCCTGTACACACACCTAATCTGCCCTTTGTCTTAAAAAGGTATCAAAAATATTTTGTCATGTCACTAAATACTCTTCTATATCAAAGAATCAGATTAAGCTTATCCCTAAGAAAAACACACAGATATATTTTGAATATAGAACTCTTGAAGTGTCATTAACTCTGCTTCAGACTTCTGGTTATCATTGTTTTTTAGTGGCTTTATAGAGCATTCCTTCATATGGGTCTGCTGTTTTTATTCACACCAATCCCAATTTGGAGGTTTTTAACCCACTTCTAGGGATTAGTTATAAACAGTCCTATGACGTCATGTTGCTAGATAAATCTTTGCCCACATCGTTGATGAATTCCTTAGGGTAAATTCCTGGACATTGAACCTTAATTACACCTGCAAAATCCCCTCCTGCAAAAGCCCCTAGGCTAGTGTTTAAGTAACTGGAAGGTTTGTGCACTTCAGCAGGTAGGAATCTTAGGGGCTGTCTTAGAGTGGTGTGTACCACAAGCAGTGTCCCCCACTTCAGGGGTGTAAGTGTCTTAGTTCTTGGAGTATTGGTAAGGGAGTTTACCTATGTCTGTTCTTTTTTATTGACTTTGGTGAATGGAAAGATGACCACTTCTGTGAACAGGAATGGCTCCCAACTTCCTGAATTCAAACGTGGCTCTACTACTTAATTTGTTAAGTGACCTTGTGTGTGCTGCTCTTCTCTCGGCCTTCATTTTCTCATTCATAAAATAACATGGACTTAATCATTGTTCTTTTCTTGTAGGGTTTTAATGAGTAAATTACTTAATACCGAGGAAACCCTAGAACAGTGCTTGGCATATAGTAAAGGGCTTTAAAGGTGTTTACTTTTTTAAAAAATGCATTTGAATCTGCAGTTACATAATTCATTGTATTAATGAGCATGTTACTAGGGCTCCCTTTATTAAAGGGACCCACAATTAAAGACAGAATTTTATTTTTTTCACCTTAAATTTTTATTTCTGGCTTACTATATTGTAGACATATACGCCTTTTCTAGTGAGCTGCCAAAATCTGTTTGGGAAAAAGTAAGAGTTAAATAAATCTTTAGCATGCTAATTTGCTATATTTTGGTAATTCACTATCATGGTATGATATTACAAGTAGTGGACTATAATTCTGAAATCTGAGTTCACTTCTGGCTCTGCCTCTAAATCCTTGGTGAGATCTATAGCTGGAAAGACTTTTGGATATCATACTATGAATAGTTTATAATGTACACTCTATTTCTTCGCACTAGGAAAAACTGGAGGAGTGCATAAAGCAGTTAAAGGAGGAAAGAGGCATAAGGCTTAAGGCTGACAAGCGAGTTCGTGAGGTAAACAAGTGTTTTCTTATACTTTGGAGAGTTTGGGCTTTATTTTGATTTGATTTTAAGCCATACACACAGTTTATAAACTTTAGAACTGTAATATATTACAAATTGGTTGTACCACATGAACTTTTATATTTACTCATAGTTAGTGGTCATGTGATCTGTATTTCAGCAAATATCTTTTTAAAAATGTAAAAATCTTAGAGTTTTTGTGTGTGCTTTTCTGTGACTTTAAGCTTATTTTTGTTCATGATGTTTTGATTCAAAAAAGCACTTGTGCTTATAATATGTATATATGGTAACATTAAGACTGTCTACTCAGCTGTTGGGGGGAGGTTGGGGGAGTAGAGGGATTGAACAAAAACGAAAAAGAGAACTCAAGGACGTGGACAAGTGTGGTGATTTTGGGAGTGGAGGGTGCTGGGTGGAGGTGGAAGAGGGCATAGAGGGGATAAAAGGTGATGGAAACAACAAAATAAAATAAAAAGACTGTCTACTGACAATGAATTAGAAAAGCGAATCATTTAAATAAATATATTAGAAAACTGCTAAGAATACAATAAAGGAAAAATACGTACTATGAGAATTACAATTAGGCTAATGTGCATGAAAGCAGGGCATAAACTTTGAAAAGTTCCATATAAATATATATTATTACAAGATGAGTTTAGGGAGGAATTACTTGAAGCGCATACATTGGATTGGAGGGCACTTATTCAATGAGTATTGAGCACCTGCTTATATAAGGCAAAAGATGCATCATGAATGAAAGGCCTTTCTGAGAAAGACTGGAACTGGGCTTATATGTGGTTTAGATGCGGAGATGATGAGGGAGAGGTGTGCAAGGGAGCAAATGTTTTTAAAAGCCAAGGAGAGTATTGATAAGCATACATTTAATAAATTGGGTATGGCTAGGACTTTTAAACTTACACAATGAATATTTTTCTCACTAAAATTAATCTTTAAGATTCAACAGAGTTGTATTATTCCTTGTTCAAATATGACTTTGTATTTTATTTTATAATTTAAGGGAACCCTTAAGCAGCTAATTCTCTAATGTAGAATGAGGATCCAATGTGAATTAACCCGTTAGAAATGTGATCTTTTGCAAGGTCATTAATAAACAATAATTGCCTTATTTATATACCACCTAAGTATTACATAAAAAACCTTGTTGGGTGGCTCTGGGTTTTGATAATTATGTCTTTTACTGATGGAGAGTTAGATTAATCACTAATTAATTGCATTTTTAAATGTTTTAGTTTTGTTACTTAAAAACTTTTCTTTTGATGAGAGTGAGAGAAAATCGTGTCTATCATTTTCAATTTTCTTTTATAGCTTGAACATGAAAATGCCCAGTTAAGAAATATAAATTTTTCTTTGTCTGAAGCCCTTCATTCACACTCATTGACAAGCATGATCCTGGATGATGAAGGTGTTTTGGGCAGCATTGAGAATTCTTTTCAGAAGTTCCATGCTTTCTTGGATCTCCTTAAAGATGCTGGGTTAGTTCATTTCTCTCCATGGCACTCATCTTTTCACAACTATAATGGTAGTTTTTGCTGAGGAACTTGAGCAGTTTTCATCACTTCCATGGTCATATTTAGTGTGTAATTACAGGTAATGTACTTATTTTTTTTTAAATGAGGAATTACATTTTAAAAGAAATGCAAAATGGTGAACCAGCTTTGGTAGAGCAGGGCCCATTATAAAAGAGTAACCTATTAGTAAGTATAGTTTAAAATAATTTTTATCCTAGACATAAAAATTGTAACTAATCAGCAGGGCATATATTGATCAGCAGTTCTCAACTGGGAGTGATTTTGCTGAAAGAAGATGCCAAAAGAGAGAATGAGAGGTTGATAATTGATGGAGTAATGTGCGTAGGCGAATGGGTTGGTGTTGGGAAGGAAGGAACACGCACATTCTTGGAAACTGTAGGAAAGAAAGGTGGTAAAGAAGTTTGGGAAGATGGTGATAGAAGGAGACTTGACGACATGCTGAACGCACAATACGGTGTACAGATGGTGTATTGTGGAATTGTGCACCTGAAACCTGTATAATTTTGTTAACTGGTGTCACGCCAATAAATTCAATAAAAATAAATAAGTAAATAAATAAATATAAGTAAAACCATGATCCTGGAAAAGGGTTTAAAAAAAAGTGTGGGAAGAGAGGTGAGAGACCAAGGACTTAGGTGCATGACAGATGTTTAAGCTGCTAGTGAGACAGTTTAAAATGGGGTGGTGATGGGTAAGGAAATAAATCAGATGGTGGCATGAATATTAAGAGGTCTGAGAACTTGGGAAAGATAGAGGCTTATAATCTGGAGTAGAATATTGGCTCTTAAGGTTACAGAAGTACTTCGTAGTTATGGATACGGGGAGATCTGAGCTGCTCTGATGTGACTGCAGTGGCCCTGCCCGTTGTCCTCTATCCAGGCTTGGGCAGCTCGCCAGGACGGCTGGGATAGATCCGTCAGATTTCCATCTCCTGGGTCGTCCCCGGCTGCATTCTACTCTTGCTAGTCCACCTAAGGAAGAAAAGGCACTTGAAGAAGAAAAACCAGAATCGAAGCAGAATGCCCTAGGACAAATGCAAAATATCCAAGTAAGTGGACAGAATAAAACTTAATGATTCTAAGAGTGATTGGCAAAAAGGGAGTTACCAAGTCAGAGAAAATAATGAAAATCTGTCAGAGTTCACATGCTTTGGAGCTAGAAGCTTCTTTGGGGTCCTTTCTAAATCTGAGATTAGTAAATTTGTGTCCATTTCATGCTATCATATTGTTATATATAAAAAACTGGAAGTTCTCTTGAAAATTTATGACTTAAAGCAAACTATCCCCAGTGAAAGAAATGAAGCATTAGAGAAAATATTCTAAATTTTAAATTGTGTAAATATCTATTCTATTCATATTCCATCTAGGTTTCTATTTGTATGCAGTCAGCTTACAATGAAGGAACACTAATGAAGGTACAAGTACTGATACTGATACAGATAATTAATGAAAATAAGTGATCCATATATAACTAATAGGCCATATACTATAGTTAGTCACCCAGTTATGGGAATGGGAGGGGAAAACCTATCTGCTTTTCCTGTAGCCTTACTTGGAGCCCCCATCTCCCGTGTCAGCCAATCTCAGGCTGGTTGTGGGAACTGAACTTGAGAACACAGTCTCATCACAAATTGGATACTGCTTACATGTGCTGGAGGATAGAAAAGAAATTAATTTTCTTAAGTAATAGGGTTTTATTATTTCTAATGAGGGAAAGGGAAATGGGTAATTACCCCAAACACAAAAGTCTGAAAATGTAGGTGGACATACTTAGATGTAGCAAAGTTAAGTTGGGAAGCACTTGGCAAGATGTAATTAGAAAAAAACTGGCTCTAAAATCTTCTAAATAATCAATTGACTATCTTAATAATGAGATCACAGAGTAACATTGAAGCTTAGGACTCTACTTTCTAATGGTTGGCTTTGTTCATTACTGAATTTTTGTCTTGTTTTTTTTTTGCCTCCAGTTTCAGAAAATTACAAGTGACACTAGAATTCCTTTGCCTCTCGACTCACAAGTCCCAGTTTCTGTGCAGGAGGCGTTAGTAACTTCCAAAGACAACTTGGGAGTCGAAGTCACTGAGCGACGGCAGGAGTCTTTTGAAGAATTCATTGCTAGAACATGTTCTCCTTCAGCTGATATGATTTCTGGACCTGGAAATCAAAGAAAAGAAGACGAGTTGTCTAGAAATAGCAGATCTTCAGAGAAAATGGCCAAAACCTGTGAATATACTAAAAAACACTCTGCTAGGAAAAAACATGGAAAGGACCTACATTCCCGCTCTGACTCACCTGTGAACTGGAAAAGCAAAGGAATAGAGCAGAATAGTTTTAATGAGCCAATTAAAAGCGAGTCTTTGAAAAACCACATTTCTGTCAAGAAAGACAGTAGAATAGTGACTGTTTCATCCAAGAGAACTAAAAGTAAACTCAATCTGTTAGAACATTCTGAAAGTGATACTCTTGGATCTGATTTTGAATTTCAAGAAAGCATTCATACTCTATCACGCCTGACATAGGTCTAAATCTTTTGAAATTATGTTTTTGCCTTAAAATTTAATAAATTTCTTATGTTTTCATTATGGCATATGGTGTTTTTAAGTATGGAACTGGAAACCATTAGAGAAAGATTTGTCCATTACAATGAAACTTTTGGTGTATATTTCCTTTTGACATTTTGCACCATTCACTCAGTATGTATTTACTGAGGGCTTGATACTATTCTAGGTGTTACTCCTTTTATCAGTGAACAACAATGCCTTTCCTTCTTATGAAACTAATCCTCTTTGGAGTGAGAAAAACATAACAAAGCAGGGTAAGGGGACTAGAAAGGGATGGGACAGAATAAATGGAATACCATTTGGTTAAAGGTAGAAATATTACAAATTGCATGGCCAAAAACCATTGACATATCCTAATTCATAATATCCAGAGCAATATCCAGAGCAGCATACATTTACCAAGTACTTAACCAGGTTTATGGATTACAGCAACCCTGTGGTAGGGAATTAGTATGCTGAGGAGATAGATTATGTGCATTGCCCAAAATTACACAAATAAAATAAGTGATACAGCTGGGATTTGAACCAGAATCCCTGCTATTAATCACTTGTCATCCTCTTTCCTTGTTAAGAGGGGAAGGGCTTGAGGAAGACATTAAGAGAAAAAGCCAGTGAGCACTAGAAGTGCAAGAATGGGGCTATACACCTGTCCCTTTCCTTCCCCAACTGGGCAGGATTCTTTAAAGGCTGGGTATATAAGAGTATATGAGCACCTGTCTCTGAACTAAATTATGCCTCTCTGGTAAAATGTGTATAAGCAAGTCCTTAGTTCAACCAGACTGACTTGAGAGGTAAGAGCAGGGAAAAGCTGGAGTGTCAGATTTCTTCTAGAAGGTTCTGCCTGATTGTTATCAGAAGAGCCACTATAATACCATGTGGTTTATTAATCATGAATTGAGTGTTATGAGAATCAAACAATGAACAAGATCAAGATGTAGTCTTGGCCCTTTAACAGCTGGGGAAGACACACAAGCAGATGCCTTAATACAGCGTGTTACATTCTATGAAGAGAATACTTAGTTGAATTTAGCCAGTGTTTGGGGAAGAAGAGAGCTGTGGGGCCAAGAAAGTTCATCTACAGAATACCAAAGCTAACTCAGAAGACAAAAATAGTACTAAAAAGTATACATGATGGAAAGTGAGACAAGACTCTTGTTTGCAGTAAAGGTTTTTGGACAAACCCACAATGATTTACTGGTATGCTATTACAACTACTGAGAAAGCTTAGTAAGGAGGCAGGCATAACACCAGCACCCCAATACCAAAAGCTTTTGTATATACCAGCAATAACCGATTAAATTTATGGAGGGGAGGTCCCATTCATCTAGAAGTAAGGTTAACTAGAAATGTAAGGCCTGTATTAATTTAAAAACATATCTATACTGAAGGGTATGAAAGGAGACACCCCAAAATGGAGAGGCATGCCCTGTTTCTCTCTGAGAAGACCCAACATAATAAAATGTCAGTTCTACCAAAGTAGAAATTCAAAGCAATTTCATACAGTCATAGCAAGGTTTTTATAAAGTTCATATGGAAGACAGAGCACAAGATAAAGTTTGAATATATATCAAAGCAGTTCATGGAGCAGGGTAAATGAAATAGTGTATTGGCACAGGAATAATCAATAGGTTAAAGGAACAAAACAGCATCCAAGAAGAGAGCGATGAATACATATGGGAATTTAATACCTGAAAAACAGCATATGTAGGGAAGGATTGAACTGTTCAGTAAGTGATGCTGAGATTACTGACTTTGGAAAACATTTTCTTCTTTCATACCATGAATAAGAAATAAAATCCCGGTGAATTAAATATAGAAATGTAAAAATAACTAGAAGATATCAGAAAAAAAATTTAATAAATGTGGGGTGAGGAAGACCTTCCTAAGCAAGACACAAAACTCAATATCCATGAAAAAAAGACTGATATATTTGACTATGTTAAAAAATATCTGTACACAAATATAAATAAGAGACAAAAGATTGGGAAAATATGCAAAATAGAAGGTTAAATATTCTTAATATAAAATGCACCTACAAAACAAGGTGAACAAAGGATTTAAAAATATTTTGGTAAAAAAGAACTGTAAACAACAAACACAAAAACATTTAACTCCATAAGCAATCAGGACAATTAAAATGAGGTAACTATTTTTCAATCCATTGAAATGGCCTATTTAAAAGGATTGGTAATTGCTAGTGTTGGAGATAATGTGAGGAAACGAGCACTGTCGTTGAGGGAAGTATAAGTGGATACAGCTTTCTTGGGTGGATGATCTGTCAGTGTACCTCAGTATTTAAAATGGGGTTAGCCTCTGATTCTAGGCATTGAGCCAAAGAAATAGTCACACAGTTTCCTAAGAGTCAGGTGTGATAATTTATATTGAAGCATTTTTTTTTAAATAATAAAAATTAGATTCAACACAATTGTGCATAAATGTGGAAGCTTGAATTAGTACATACCAGGTTCTACTATGCATTACTCTGCAGCAGACAATATAGTAGCTCTGTGGTGTGGACATGAAAATATTTGTACGACATACTGATATGAAAAACAAGTTGCACAATAATATCACACACTCCTGTGTAGATTTATATGATTAAAAACCTGTTTACACACACATAGCATTCATGTGTCTGTGCACATAGAAAACAGTCTGTAATAGCACATATCAGGCTGTTGACAGTTTCCTCTGATGAAGGCCATAGGATTACAAGAAGAGGAAGGAAAGGGGCTTTTCATATTTTACCCTATTTAATTCTAGGTTTTTTTATCTTTCTAAAATAAGTATATTTTTATGGATGACAAGTAATTTTCTAAATTCCTCTTCATCACAGAAACTTGGAAAAGGCAAATATATAATGTTATTCTATATGTCCTGTGTCCATATAATTTTCAAAATGTGTCTGTCCTAATATCTGAATGAAATGAGCTTTACTATATAAACCTCTCCAAGCTCTGTACCCATGAGGTGTTCCTACATAGTGTATTTAAACTTTTTTCTTAACCACAACCCACAGTAAAATTTTATTTTATGCAAAGTAAAAGGTTATCAGTTGTCCTGGCCCACACCTACCATGTGTGCACATATAATAAATGGAAAGTTTCATCAAACCATTCTTACTGTACCTCTAGTGATTCACTCTTTGTTCTGTTCTGTTTCATTCTTTCAAAGAAAATTGTTTGCAACCCACAAGTAGGTTTCACAATCCACTAATGGGTCATGTCCTGCGGTTTGAAAACACTGGCCAGAGTGCTTCAACCACTTATTTGCTCGGTTTATCCCTAACAAAACCACTGTGCAAGGCTTCCCCACATTCGCTTTGTTATTTTATGGCTGAGAGTCGTTCTCCACTTGGACATTACTTCCAAAGCCCAGCTTTCTTCAGCTCTTTAACTCTCAATAGTCTTGATGCAATTTATGGTAGATTCCCCATTTAAAAACCCTTTCCTTACACTAAAAGCCTGAGTTTTCAAATTGACACATTTACAGGAGAATTCTAAGATATAACTTGGCCAAAGAGTTAAAAAGCAAGAAGACAAATGTCCTGTGACTTAAGGCTGTGACGAGGCAATTGCTTGGTATGAACTGCTGCTCCCAAGGCACATAACATACTGTCCGGGTTAAAAGGGCTCAACCTAATGCCCATGTTCCCTTTGAACAGTTTGTAAATTTTAAACCAGTGTAAATTAAAAACACACACCAACCAAGGAGATAAGGAGGCCTCCTATGGATTACGTAATCATTCACTTTGTTCCTGAGAGACCAGTGAGGATTAGTTGGTTTCTTTAATGTCTTAGGAAGTCCTCAGAGTCCTTGCAATGTGGAAGAGGCTTTTATCTAAAAAGAAAGAAAGACAAAAACCCAAACTTCACAAAATCTTTAAATAATCCCAGGTCAGTATCCTAGATTATTACATTTGAGTAGGATTTGAAAACATTAAAATCAGGTGGGGGAGTAGGAGAGACGCTTAAGGATACAAACTTGCAATAAGTAGTAAGTCCTACAGATCTAATGCACGGTATAGTGAATATAGACAATACTGTGTGATAATCATCAAATTTACTGAGAGAATAGATCTTAATTATTTCAACCACTAAACAGAAATAGAGCTCCATAATGTCCTGTGACTGAAGGCTGTGACAAGGCAATCACTTGGAATGGGCTGCCGGGCACATAACATGCTATCTGGGTTAAAAGGGCTCAGCCTAATGCCCATGTTCCCTTAGTGTATTTGCAGTGTATAAATGTGTCAAATCAACATGTTCTATGCCTTAAATTTACACAATGTTGTATGTCAAATATACTTCAATTTAAAAAAAAAACCACTAAAATCCATTTGCTAAATAGCTCTGTTTTCTTTATACCAAAGTCAAACTTCCCCTAACTCTGTCCTAAGAATTAAGTGCCTCATTGTATAGCAAGCTGATAGGAGACATTTTCAACATTATTCCAGGATTTGAAAACCCATAAGGGGCCAAAGGTGTTCTCTTTGGACCATGTATCAGTCATATCCTTGCACAAGCTGCACTTCCAGGCAGGTGAACTGCTGCTGTCCTGCGATGAGTGGCCAGAACAGCAAATGTGAGGCTGTGAAACACACTTTTCTTGGTTTCCTGGTCTTTATGGACACTTAGGCTCCTATTATTTTCTAAAGTTGCTCTCTTCCCCAATTTAGTCAATATGATAACTATAAATTTAAATTGGCCAATGCCTGAAAAAGTTTTGTAAACCTTTCCATTCACTTTTGTTTTTAAAAAAGTAAAGATTAGGTCCAGCTGGCATGGTTCAGCTGTCGAGCATCTACCTAGGATCCAGGAGATGGCGGTTCGATTCCCGGTCAGGGCACATGCCCGGGTTGCAGGCTCAATCCCCAGTGAGGTACGTGCAGGAGGCAGCCGATCAAGGACTTTCTCATCACTGATGCTTCTATCTCTCTCTCCCTCTCCCTTCCTCTCTCTGAAATCAATAAAGACATATTTAAAATTTTTTTTTATTAATGCCATCGCTTTCCATATTCC